TGTGAGGATTGAATACCTTTGGTCTCATCAGTCGGTAGGACCGTGATCGGCAGAGGGGAACTGTGCCATTAGCTCGGACCTTTTCCCTGACCTCCAAACCCAGACTTACCGGCCTTCTCCCCGTGAATGTCTGACAGGCACGTCACACTTTCCGTGTCCCAACCCAGGCTCATCTTTTCCTCCACACGGGTGATTTCCCTCCTGTGTTTCTGTCTCAGCAAATGGCACTCCAGGGAGCCCCGGGGGTCACCCGAGGCTCTTCCCTTTCCTCTGCCCTGTGCTCAGGTGGCCGTGGGGATCTGGGCGGGCTTCCTCCCTCCTGCCCTGCCTCTGTTGCTTTATGTCTGTTCAGGCTCTCCCTCTTTCTGTCCTGGCTTAAAGCAACATTTCCTGCCTGGTCTCAGTCTCAAAACTCTTAGATTTCTGATGGCTCATTCACACGGGAGCTGGAGTGACCTTTCTGGTTGTGTCTTATTTATTTACTTATGCCCACAGGCTTCAGGAAGGATTCAGGTACATACAGGAATCCCATCTGGTTACTCCCTTGCTTAATACCTGTCATTGCTTCCCGTCCGACGTGCTCAGCATGGAGTCCCCAGCCCTCCATGATCTCATGCGCATCTGTCTCTCTAGGCCTGACTCGGGTCTCAGAAACCCCAAGAAGCCCCAGCGCCCCAGCCCCTGGCACCTTCCCAGGTGTGCGCATTGCTGTGCACCTTGCCCGGCCCCAGGCTCTCAGCCGCCTTCAGGCTGTGGGTGGTGAGGCAAGGCCAAGGGTTCAGACACTGGGCACTCCCACACCACGCGCACACATAGCGCCGCTTCCAGATCGCATTTGCACAGTTTTCCATTCCAGCGCTCCCCTTCTGCGGTCACAACCCTGCGTTTTCGAGTTGTGTCCGTACCCCTTCCTGTTACAGAGCTGGCCACAGCAGCCTCCCTTGTCCATGTGGCGGGGATGTCCCTCTGGGTCCCCGGCTCCTGTTGCCTCTCTGTCGCGTGGCCGACACACATTTCCTCAGGTTTCCCGCAGTGGTGACTTAACCTCTCCTGGTGACCATTCCCCGTGAGGTCGCCTGACAAGGGTCCTGCCTTTGTCCTGCACCGCACAGGCGGCACCTGGGTTCAGCGTTAGTCCCACGTGAGCGGGGCCGGGGAAGAAGGGCTGGCAGTGGACCAGCCTGGTCCGAGGAGGTTTCTGGCTCCAGGCGGGGCCTTCCTGTCGCCCTGGGGCTCGCAGCCACTGCTGGTGTCGGCGAGGCTCCTTCTTTCTGACCCTCCCTGGGCTGCGCACACCCGCTGCTCCTGTGGAGCAGCAGTTCCCGAAGTGTGTGCATTGAAGCCAGTCCCATGGGATGTCCCCGTCCCCAAGCAAACTGTTGATGTCACAAGTTTGAGACACGCTGGGTACTGAGATTCACGACCCTTAGCCGTACACCAAACTCCCTGGAGAAGTCCCACAGTGACAGGCCCCTGCCAACCCAGTCCACCTCCAGTCGCTCATGACCCAGGGACACTCTCGCCACATCACACCTCCTCCCGGTTTCTCTAAGCACGCTTCCTGACGTCATGCGTCATTAGCAAAGCCCCTCATCCTGCTGTTGTCACCAAGAGTGGTCCCAGGCTCGTGTGGCCCCAGTAACGCCCTCGCCCACACCATGACCCCGAGGGCCGGGCTCCGCTTCCTTGCCTGCAGCTGGGAAGGGGTGGGGCCGTAGTTCTGCGTGTTCACTCTCGGCTGAGGTAGCAGGTCAGTTCTCCCACGTCCAAGCTTGCAGAGAGCCCTGCCCTGAGCCCGGCACGGCACAGGCGCTCAGTGACTAACTGACAGGTGCATACGTTCCTCGTTCCACTGGCCTCTACCTGTGCCCGGAAAGGGCTGCCACACGTTCACACTGTGCTTGCCCAGTGGAAAGCGCCACCCCTCTGCGCCCACGTCCGCCGTGGCCGGGGCGCCGGCCTCCTCCTGGTGCCCCAGGCCTTGGGGGCCTTACTCTGAGTGCCAGCGTAGAATCCCGGAACTCACACAGCGCCCACTGGGGCTGCGGTCAGGGCCTCCTTAGCGAGGGGATGCTCCCTGGGCTTGTCGTCCATACTCAAAATCCAGAGTTACCTTGAGAGGGAAATTATTCCAGCTGATGATGATTCTGGGGCCTCTCCCAGCTTTCTCTTCCTGGGGCTTTTCTTCCTTAGCCAGACTGTCGTAGCTGTGTCCACCCCGCCTACGCGCAGAGCAGCGCCCGCAGCTGGTGGCAGTGACCTTTAGGAATCCAATCCAAGGTAAAGGTTAGTCAACAGATCAGAGCAGCCCCCTCAGTGTTCGAGTATTCTTATTAACGCCTCCACCTAAGAAGGAAGTGGTAGCCGTCACCCACTGTGAGTTCTCCATTCCATGGGCAAATTTATACTTGGGTGTCAATGTTAAGGTCAACTTCTTCATAACTTACGCCCAGTACCTCTCAGCTCTAGCATCCCTGTCAGCACTGGGAGCTCAGCGTGGACAGGCAGAAAAGAGGGGAAGCTACGCTGACTTCCGTGCGCCCTCGTTGGCATCTGCACCCACTGGCATAGCATTGCCACCATCTTGCAGGCGAGGCACGGAGATTTATTTGATCATTGATTCTGCCCACTGGATTGCAAGCTCTCTGAGAAGAGGGCTTTTGCCTTGCCCACCGATTTCAGCGGTGCCTAGCAGAGGCCTGTTAGATTGTGGGCAGCCAGTACTTACTGAATGAAATACCACACCTTCCTCCCCGTTAGGAGCAGGCTGGGCCATTCTCCCCTCGGCTCATTGCCCGCTTTAAAAGAGAAATTTTATTTACTTGATTGAATAGTAAAGTCTCAATACTGTTTAACATACTGGCTCTTCTCATGAAAGGGTCAGTTATTACTGCTTTTCAATTACTTTCTTCACAGGGCAAATAGAATGATATAGAATTTAGCAAAAGAGAAAAAAATCAGTGTTTTAAAAGATAGAGAACACTTTCTTTTCTTTTCTTTTTTTTTTTTTTTTTTTGCGGTACGCGGACCTCTCACTGTTGTGGCCTCTCCCGCTGCGGAGCACAGGCTCCGTACGTGCAGGCTCAGCGGCCACGGCTCACGGGCCCAGCCGTTCCGCAGCACGTGGGATCTTCCCAGACCGGGGCACGAACCCGTGTCCCCTGCATCGGCAGGCGGACTCTCAACCACTGCGCCACCAGGGAAGCCCGAGAACATTTTCTTAATTATGATAAAAGGGGGTTGTATGTAAATGAATTTTATTTGTGGAAATATGAAGTAGCCAATATCACTAACTTTAAAATATTTTTCTCTTGTGTATATATTATGCGAGTGTTTTACTATGGCTGTGTCCTTCATTGACCACATTACTGGCTCCTTGATCCCCTTAATGCGTTAGACAAGTCATTTAGATGACATTTCAAACAATGTTCTGAGCTCCTTGCTGTTTAAGCCAATAACAGGAATAACAAGTAATTAATTTTTAAAAAGTCAAGGGTTTTAAAAAAAAAAAAAAAGGAAAGGGAATTCCCTGGCAGTCCAGTGGTTAGGACGCCGAGCTCTGACTGCCGAGGGCGTGGGTTCAGTCCCTCGTCGGGGAACTAAGATCCCACAAGTTGCACAGTGTGGCCAAAAAAGAAAAGGAAAAGTCAAAGGTTAAAAGTTACAAGATCAAAAAAAAAAAAAAAAAAAGTTACAATATCACACCTGGTCATGAACCATTTAAAAGCAGGGTTTTCGGTCTTCAAGGTGAGAATACGGGGATCTGTAAATACTGCGAAGGGAAGCAGTTGAGAACGTGGCCGATTTATTACATTTAGTAAATCAGTCAAGTATTCTGGAGTGCCCACTTTTGGAAGTCAGTCTTCATTCATGCATTCAACAAATAAATGTTGATTGAGTGCCTCTGTGGTCCAGGTACTGTGCCAGGTGCTGGGGACATGCAGGTGCTATATCTCCAGCCCTTGTGAAACTCCGTGTCTGCTAAAGGAGAAAGAGACAGAAATGGCTGCAAAATGATCACAGCTCAATATGATCAGCGTGGATAATGTTCCGTTCGAGGGTTGTGGTGACATAGAGGGAACTGAGCGCTACTGCCTGCCCCTTCGGGAAGGGCTCCACAGACGGCTGAGACTTCCTCTCTTCACCTCTACTTCCTTTTGTCCCCTAGAGTTCTTTTAGACAAATTCCAAACATTCTATCATTTTACCTATAAATAATTCAATATACATCTCTAACAGATAAGGGCTTCAAAAAACGAAAACGTAACCACAGTGCCAAACATAATTAATACTAATTCCTTAGTATCATGTAATACCAGTGCAGTCCATTTTCACATTTCCCGTGTTTTCTCAAAATGTCTTTTACGGTTGGTTTGAGTCCATCCAAACAAGTGTCCTTCACAGCATTTGGTGGTTTCTCTATTTCAGTACATGCTTAATACCACGTTGCTGTAGTAGCAAAAACAAAACAATAAATGGGACGTGCCCATAAAGTAGGCAGTGATTTGGCCTATAGGCAGGATTAGAAGGGAGTAGGGTGGGAGGGGGATCGTGAATTTTTTCCATAAACACCTCTAGAGCGACTTGGTGCTAAGTGCATGTGTTATTTGTATACTCAAAGATAAAATCTTAATAAAGAAGAAAACCAGGATAATAAACTGATTTTCATTGCTTTTGTTCCTTATGATGTCTTTGACTAGGCAGCTTTAAGTTCCTCTGGGAGCTTGGTCAGGGCAAACCCACCCGTTTTCTTATAGACTGCTGCTTGGAGTGGAGTAGCAACAAGCCAGAGGTGGGTGGCTTGGGAAATGCATCAGTAGGGTATTACTAAACTTGGACTTGGGCTAATTTTTAAATCATATACGATTATGGTTGGAGAATCCTGGTGGATGAAACACTTTGCAAATCCGTTGGTTCTGTGCCGTTACAGTGATTTGGGATTAATGCATTGCTGTCAATGTCTAACACGATCTCTTTCCTTCTCTCCCCCTCCCCCCTCAGGCTTCAACCATGTTAAGAGCCTCCTTGGCACCCGTGTAAGTAACTACTCTTAGGAATTGTTATTAAGGAGAATAGCTATGGGTAAAACTGAAATTCAAAACAGTTTTAATAAAAGCTCTTAACCGCCTCGCTTAGACGAATTCCTTTGATTAAGCTGGAGCTACATGTGGGTATTAAAGGAAATACCAGTAATCATAAGTAATACTTATAAAATACTTACAAAAGTATCTTTTAAAGTCAATTCTATTTACGTTGGTGAGGTAGCATCGAATGGAAGAAATTGTTGAATTGTTCCTATAATAGTCTATAGAAATCAGTTTAATCTACTGTCGTACGGCAGTCCACAGAACGTGGCAATGTCTAGATTTTATGTTCTCTCCTGAGTCACATTGTGACCAGGGCCACAGGATAGCTCTGTGTGTGCTGGGGCGTTCCTATCCAAGTCAGTTAGGCTGTCCCCCGTGGGGGTGTCTGAGGCACGGGGGCTTCACCAGGCATATGTGTTGCACTAGCAGGGAAGTTGAGAACCTTTGGCATGGACACGAGGACTAGGGTGGGTTCTGGTGACCCTCCGAGCCAGCCTTGGGTGGTGGTGGGGATTGGAGGGTGCTATGATATTACCAAGACACCTGCGGTCGATACAACATTCCTCCTTCCCTCGGTCTTGCCCGAGTCTGACATTAACCCTGCACTCTGTTCACTTCAGATGGTGGCTGTGGAATGCAGTGCTTATGAGCACGGACTGCCAGGGTTCAAACCCCCCTCTGCCACCGGCTCTGTGACCTTGGACCACTTTTATAACCTGTCTGTACCTCAGTTTCCTCATGGACTGTGGGAGAGTGGCGGGACCACAGAAATGGGGGATAGCCGAGCAACCTAGTAATATTGCCATTATTGGCAAGTAAATATGGCCCAAACATATATGACCGTTTTTCCTCCTTTGAGTAGAAGCTGCCCAGCTATAGAACATTATCAAACTTGGCTTTACAAATGGAACTTTTTTTGTCTAGAGAAAGAGCCTGTTTGCATTTTAAATGAAAACTTTTTTTCATTTTGAAATAATTTCAGAGTTGCAAAAATAGAACAAAGAATTCCCACATACCCTCCACCCAGATTCCCCAGTGTTAATATTTTACACAAGCCCAGTGCAGTTATCAAAATCAGAAAATTAATGCTGAAAAAGTCCTGTCCTCTAGTCTGCAGGGCTTATTCACATTCTATCCGTTGTTCTATCATGTCCTTTCTCTGGTCTGAGGTTCAGTCCAGGATCACACGTTAGTCTTGTCATGTCTTAGTTTCCTTTAATTTGAAATCATTCTTCAGTCTTTGTCTTTCGAGGCCTTGACACGTTTGAAGAATACTGACCAGTTATTTATAATTGGAATTTTTTGAAGTATTTGTATTCATTTTTAAACTCACAATAGTATCTGCCTCTGGAAAAAAAAATCAAAATAATCAGTGTACCATGTACAGAGGTTTACTATTTGCCATATGAAATAGAAGACTCTGACGCTCCTCCCCAGGAGTGTTAACTGAGACCCCATTCGATGCCCTCTTTTCTGGCTTTTTCTTCCAGGCCCTATAAGAGGATCTCATTTTTTCTTTTAAAAACTAACCTTAAGGGAACACCCTGGCGGTCCAGTGGTTAGGACTGTGTGCTTTCACTGCTGAGGGCACGGGTTCGATCCATGGTCTCGGGGAGCTAAGATCCTGCAAGCTGCGTGGCGTGGCCAAAAAAAAAACTAGCATGTAATTTTTTCCTATAATGTAAGTAATACATGCTCATTATAGAAAATTTGAGTCTATAGAAACATGAAGAAGAAAATTTAGAGAGCCCCAAATCCTACCTCCCAGAGGTATTAGCTCAGTTTTTCCTCCACCCTTAAAAACAAATGAAACCCTACAGCTTTAGTCTTTGCACTCAATTCTTCATGAATTCTCATTTAATATTAATATTCTCTGCACAGTATTAGAAGAATCATATTTTGTTTTGTTCTTAGTTTTTTTATTTTGAAATGATTATAGCTTCATAGGAAGCTGAGTCCCTCAGTGTCTCAGATAAGGTGATGACATCTTATCTGACTGTAGTACAACAGCAAAACGAGGAAATTGACGTGGAGACAGTGCAGACCTCATTCAGTTTTCCATTTTTCTATACACTCCAATCTTCTTCTATTCAACAAAACGGAATGTGAAGATACTTGTTTTAGTGACAAGGCATCTGAGGTGGTCCCTTTTGTTTCTGGCCAGCCAGATGCAGATGTTGGGTCATCTGCACCGTGTGGATCTCTGAACAGCGGTCTCTCTTAGTTGAAACCTGCCTTCGCCTGAGGTCTGACTCGGAGTCCTCCTGAGGAGGGTTTGCAAATTGCCCTACTTACTACCTGTCTCACTGGCACGTCCCCACTGCTGCTTCCTGGCCACACCCTCCTACCTCCTGGATGGTCAGCTGTGTGCCTCCTCTTCACAGTTGTTTTCTGATCCCTGTTCTGTCCTTCACATCTCCCCAAGCCAGTCCGTCAGGCTTGAGAGGGACAGTGGCTTCAGGTTTTTAGGGAGGACCCTAGGGTAGCCTGCTGAAACTAATAGGCTTTGGACTTTGCTCAGGATTCTAACTAGAACTCAGGATTCTATGATGCCTCCAAGGTGACTTCATCCCCGTGGTGCGGAGCCCTGGCCTATTGTGAATGTGGTGGTATCTAACCCCATTAGGCCGAGACTCCTTGTTTTAGGAAAAGTGTTATATAGACCCTGGTACATGCAACAGAAGAGACAGAGCTGAGCCCGTGGAAGCTGGGGTGGGGGGCCTGGAACCCAGCCCTCTTGGTGGAGGCCTGGAGTTAACGCAAGGAGCACAGAGAGCAAGTGGGCCACTGCCCGTCCAGAGTGTCAGAGCAGCTCTAGATGAGACTGTCGTGATACTCAGGGCGTGTGATGAACACGCCCTTTTGCTCTGTTCTTTCTCTTTGAACTTGTGTTGCTGAGTAGGAAACTGAAGGATGTCCCCTTACTGCCCTCCTTGGATTATGAGAAACTGAAGAAGGATTTGATTTTGGGGAGTGACCGCTTGAAAGCCTTTTTGTTGCAGGCTCTGCGCTGGGTAAGTACCTTTTTCTTGAAGTTAAAAAAAAAAAGGGGGCTTCCCTGGTGGCGCAGTGGTTGAGAGTCCGCCTGCCGATGCAGGGGACGTGGCTTCGTGCCCCGGTCCGGGAAGATCCCACATGCCACGGAGAGGCTGGGCCCGTGAGCCATGGCCGCTGAGCCTGCGCGTCCGGAGCCTGTGCTCCGCAACGGGAGAGGCCACAACACTGAGAGGCCCAGGTACCGAGAAAAAAAAAAAAAAAAAAAAAGACCATGCTGGTTTTCTTGGCTGGCTGCCTTGCCTGTATCTTTTAACCCATCTTCTCAAAATCTTTCTTCATGCTTCCTGCTGACACCAAGAGCGAAAATGAAAAGCAGCTTCTGAATATCACTGTGGTCTCTTTTAAAAAACCCCTATGTTGACGTCACAGCTGCCGTTGCCTTCACTCGATGATTTGATACATGATGATTTGGTACATGTAGTTTCAAGGCCCCGGAGACGTCCTGGCATCTGGCCCTTCCCTGGTCCTGAGCCAGACTCACAGCTGGTGGCGTCGGTGTTTTAGAGCACGAGTCCCGCTCACACTGACCCCCGCAGACACCTCTGGATTTAGGTATTCCCGCGCAGCCACACGAGCAGGCATCAAGGGTGGAAACTTATTACCAAGTCTTTAAGGAAAATAGAGTGTAATCTAAATAGTTACTTTTCTGGAAATTCCCTGGTGGTCCAGTGGTTAGGACGCCACGCTTCCCCTGCAGGGGGCACAGGTTTGATCCCTGGTCAGGGAACTAAGATCCTGCAAGCCACGCGGCACAGCCAAAAAAAAGAAAAAAAGCCTTCGTTTAAATAAATAAATGGTTGCTTTGCTCGCCAGTTTTCAGATTGATCACAGTTAAGGCAGTGGTTCTCAAGCTTTCTGGTCCCAGACCTCTTGACACTGTCAAAAATTACTGAGGAACCCAAAGAGCTTTGTTTATGTGAATTTTATCTACCAAAATTTCACAGTATTAGAAGTTAAAGCTGAGAAAACGTAAACTATATATTTATTAATTCATTTAAGATGAACAGTAATAAACTGAGGACATAACATAACATATTTTTTATGAAAAATAACTATTTTCCAAACTAAAAAAAAAATTAGTGAGAAGACTGACATTGTTTTCCACTTTTATAAATTTCTTTCATGTCTGGCTTACTGGGGGGCAGCTGGATTCTCATCTCTGCTTCTACATTCAGTTTGTCACAGTATCTATCACGCTTCATATGACCTCTGAGAGGTTGATCATTAAAAAGGCAAAACATGCCTTAGTATTATTATGAAAATAATTGTGACCTTCTAGACTACCCTGAAGGGACTCTCCAAGTGTAGTATGGGGAACCCTTCTAGATCCCCAGGGTTCCCCAGACTACATTTTGAGAACTGCTGGCCTAAGTCAACACTGGTTCACTCTTTTTTTAAAATTTTTATTGGAGTACAGTTTATTCATTTATTGGGCTCTCTCTAGTTGTGGCGAGCGGGGGCTACCCTTCGCTGCGGTGCGTGGGCTTCCCATGGCGGTGGCTTCTCTTGCTGCAGAGCACGGGCTCTAGGCGCGCAGGCTTCAGTAGTTGTGGCATGCAGCTCTAGAGCGCAGGCTCAGTAGTTGTGGCACACAGGCTCAGTAGTTGTGGCACACGGGCTTAGTTGCTCTGCGACATGTGGGATCTTCCCGGACCAGGGCTCGAACCCGTGTCCCCTGCATCAGCAGGCGGATTCTTAACCCCTGGGCCACCATGAAAGTCCCTGGTTCACTCTTTAACTGAACAATCTATTCTAATTCACCTTGAAATAGCATCAAACCCCTTCATGGATCCCCAAATTTCAGGTTATCTTGACGTCCAAATGCCTCTGAGTGATTTCCCCATCTCCCTGGGAAGCACTTGCACTCTGACGGTTGGCAGTGCTTCCGGGAATGTGGTCTGGAGGAGCGCTCTGAGGACGCTCCAGGATCAGCAGGGAGAGTCCTGGGGCCAGTGTGTCTGCTCTGGTTCTGTTGACTAGAGTGGGTGGGGTGGCGTGAGTAACCGCTAGCGGCTGTCCCTGCCCGGAGGTTTGCCGCTGCTCCAGTTACCAGCCTCCTTTTGGTTCTTCTATTATCCGCCGGGCACTTGCTATCGGTCCATGCTATTAAGCCTCTTGGCGAGACAGGATGTTCCTTTACTGAATGAATGTCATAGAAAGAGCAGGAAAAATAAAGAGATCCTTGTAATTCTGTCTGAGACCCCTCCAGCCCCTCACCCCTCCACCCCAGCCCAGCAGTAGCCTCCGAACTCACCAGAAGGGCGGCAGCCCCTGTGACCGTGTAAAGCCCATGGGTGAGAAGGCGGGAAGAGCAGCAGACTGTCCGGAACCCAAAGGTGGAGGTCCTGAGAGGCCGGTGTCCCGGAGAGGTGGGACCCACTGCGGCCAAGGAGGGAGGCCCTGGGGGAAGAGAGGACCGTATGCAAGGAGGGCGGTGCCAGGGGTGCCACACACGCGCACGCACATGCACACACAGTATCCGCAGTGCTGCTGTGCCGGCCCCTGTGGGATGGGTCTGCTCTGTGCGCCTGGCGCTCATTCACGGGCCCCCCGTCGGGCACCACGCAAAGGCACCCTGTGTTTTCACACCCCCCTCAGCTGGACCACACGTCCCCAGCCCCCACTGCGCTCACATCCCCCCGTGCTGCCCAATAGTCTGCTCGTCCTTCGGGTACCAACTCTTGAGCCACTTACGGCAAAAAAAAAAAAGCCCTCTCCAGGCATCGGTGTGCTGTCTCTTATCTGCTCCCTTACAGTCCAGTCCAATACAATCCTTCACTGCTCTGGAGGTTACATGTGTAAGTTGACTCCTGCATCGCCCATTCAGAAGTACGTTGTAATTTTTTGTTAACTGACTTGTTGGCCACCCGGCTGGGTATTACTCATCTTGTTTGGTGAAATGCATAGTTACTGGTGCTGCCAGCTGCGGGAACAGTTTCCTCCACATCGACACTTGGGTCCTGTTGCCCTTGTTTTTCTTCATTCTAGCGCTTGACCACATCGCACCCTGGAGAGCAGAGGGAGACCGTTCTGCAGGCCTACATCAGCAACGACCTCTTGGACTGTCACAGCCATAGCCAGGTGGGTGAGAGAGGGGCCAGCGCCCAGCCACGGCCTGCATTTCTGGGAAGGATCTTAGAAGGAGGAGGCTTTCATTTCTATGCATATCTTCATCGTAGTGACTGTATGTCAGCCTGGGGCTTCTGTTAGCTTCCGAAATCTGCTGTCCACCCTGGACACTGGCCCACTTTTCACTTCCAATGCAGAGTCCTAAACAAGTTAGTACTGCTGGATTCAACTCTGCAGCCCTTTTCTGCCATTTTTCCTTTTCTCAAATTCCCCGCTCTTTCTCTCACCCCACTGCTTATCATGAGTCCTGAAAACTCAGCATGACTTACAAGGGGCAAGGCAGGTAAGCAGATTCAAATTGTTTTCATCTGGGCCTGACTTAAAAAGTGTCTTGGGCTTCCCTAGTGGCGCAGTGGTTGAGAGTCTGCCTGCCGATCCAGGGGACATGGGTTTGTGCCCCAGTCCGGGAAGATCCCACGTGCCGTGGAGCGGCTGGGCCCGTGAGCCATGGCCGCTGAGCCTGCGCATCCGGAGCCTGTGCTCTGCAACGGGAGAGGCCACAGCAATGAGAGGCCTGCGTACTGAAAAAAAAAAAAGTGTCTTCAACACTCTTTGTATATAGCTTTGGACCAGATAGGTCTAATGGTGCAGTGGGAAGAGTATGGGGTTTAGAGGGAGATAAACTGGTTTCAAATCTCTGCCCCACCGACTATTGGCCAGACACCCTTAAGCAAATTTCTCAGTCTCAGGGAGATTTCCACCACCAAGAAGGGGCCATCACCTGCCTCGTGAGGTTGTTGGGATGGCTGCATGTGGTCACGCGTGGGGAGAACTTAACCCAGGGCCCAGCTCGGAGGAGTCCTCCTCCCGCCTCCGCATCCCTCTTCCCCAGGGTTCTCAGCACCTGGCCTCCTACCGAAGGAGGATCGACAGCTTGAACATGCCCTATGCAGAGAAGATACTGCATCTCATTATTTCAGTTTCATCCAAAATACTCTAAAAACTTCATCTCCCTACTGTTAGGCTTCACAGTGTGTGCCCTGAGTGCAGTATCAATACCTCTTAGGATCGCTGATGAAACAGCCCCGGAGAAAGCTTGTTGCGCGTAATCTGTTGTGTGCACAGGCGACAACATTTAAGGGTTTTGAGTTTCTTCTTTGTACATAATCGTATTGTTCCCATGAAACAGTTAAGTATGAAAAATAGTCCCTCAAATTCTTATTTTCTTTTCCTTTTTTTTTCTGTTGGTATTTGTAATGGCACGGAAACCAGCCTATAAGACACGAAGCAGCTGAAGAATATACTGTCATGACTTAATGAACTCAAATTCAAAGAGTGAATTCAATACTGATTCTTTCTGAACTGTGATATTTCATTGAATCTAAGATGTAATTTCTCCCCCCATTTTAGCATTTCCGAAACTGGAGTGTATCTAATAGCCGATGGCCTGTTACAGTTTACCTTGCAGTGCTTTTTTCTTTCTTGGTTATATATAAAAAAAATAATATGTCCTCCCATGAAAGGTGTCTTAGGTTTTGTGATATATGATATTTGTCAAAATGCCGAAATCTTTATAGCCACTGAAGATGTCATATCTTCCTCAGGTCATTATTTTTAATTGCTATCGCTTATTTATTTTTTTTAATAAGGAATGAGCTGGAGTTACCTTAAGATGTCAGAGAATCTGCAGAGCAGGAGAACTCCTTGGGAAACATGGGTGCCATGTCACCATGACACCAAAATAAATTGGGAGATATATATAGAGATATATATAGAGATATATATATATATATCCCACGTTTTGTTTATCCATTGATCAACAGACACTTGAGTTACCTCTACCGTTTGGCTGTTGTAAATAATGCTGCATTGAACATGAGTGTGCACACCCTCACTTTGTCTCAGTCAGTTCCTTGCTTTTCTTTGTAGTGTCCTCATTTGCATGTGTACCCTGAATAATATAGTGTTTGATTTGGGGTTTGCTGAGTGGCAAGCACAGACCTTGCTCTGCAAGGAAAGGGTACTGTTCCCATGTTAGATGAAGGCACCTAGGGGAAGATGACATGAATAAAATTGCTGGATTATAATCAGGCGTAGCTTCCCTGGGCTCTTAATGGTCCCCTCTGGGGACATTGGTAATCAAAGTCAGGACAGAGTCCCAGGAAGCACAGGGCCTCTGGCAGGGCTGAAAGGTAGGCCAGGTGCTGGTTATCCAGCAGCAATATGTATGGCCAAGGGGAATGGTGAGCCGCTCTGTAATCTGGGTTTTTAAGCTTGCCTCGTCTACTTCTAGTTCTCAGGAGCTGATCACATGCGAACACTTCTGTGGGGATGAAAAGACTTTCCACAGCTGATCCACACAGCAGGGTGTGAATGGGGGAGCTGGAGCTTCATCAGAACAAGGGCAGGGGTATCCAAGTGTGGATGACTCTGGGCTCACCTTACCCAGGTAGTTTGCACTCTATTTGAAAATATGTTACATGGTGCACTACTTTGGATCTCTGGCCGTATTTGCTAAAACCGCATAGTCTGTGTCCTAGCAGAACCACTCCTAAGTATAACCCCAACAGAAATGTGTCCATACGTTCAACTAAAAGATGTGTAAGAATGCTCATAGCAGCACTATTTATAAGAATCAAAACACTGGCTATAACCCAAATGTCTCATCAAGGGTAGAATGGATAACTCAACTGGGATATATTTGTAAAATGAGATGTCTAGAGCAATGGGAAGGAGCACACAGCATACAACACGGATGACTCTCACAGACATAATACTGAATGAAAGAGTCAGACATAAAAGAATACATACTGCATGACTTTACTTATTAAAACATTTAAAAATGGACAGAACTAACCTACGATATAAGAAGCCAGGAGAGATATTGCCCTTGATTTGGAAAGGGACCCCGGAAGGGCGTCTGGGGCTTTGGTAATGTTCTGTTTCTTTCTTTTTTTTTTTTTTTTTTTTTGCGGTACGCGGGCCTCTCACTGCTGTGGCCTCTCCCGTTGCGGAGCACAGGCTCTGGACGCGCAGGCTCAGCGGCCATGGCTCACGGGCCCATCCTCCCGGACTGGGGCACGAACCCGTGTCCCCTGCATCGGCAGGCAGACTCTCAACCACTCCGCCACCAGGGAAGCCCAGTGTTCTGTTTCTTGATTTGACTACCGGTTACCCACGTGTCATCAAGCTGCACACTCATGGTCTGGGCAATATTCTGTATGGATGTTATATTTCAATAAAAATTTTACCTAAATGAATATGGTACAGTGGCAATAGGCATCTTGGGGATGACAGCCTTTGGTATGTTACTCTCTTGAGTCAGTCATTCAGGTGGCCCTCCACATCTGGGGCACAGCTGCCTTCCAGAAATCTCTTTTCACCAAACGTATGTTGATTCCTTGCAGCCCTTTCCTGAATTAGATCTCTGTTTCCAATATTCCGTATTGTCTTCTTGGTGAGGCCTTTAGTTAATAGCTTCTAGAAAAAGGATGGATGGGGAGTATATTTTTCAAGACTGTGTATGTCTGAAAATATCGTTATTCTTTGTATAGAACTCTGGGTTGTAAATAATTATCCTTCAGAATTTTGAAGATATTGCTTCATTGTCTTTTAGGTTCCAGTGTTGCTGTTGAAAAGTCCCAAGCCATTCTAATTCCTGACCCTTTGTATGTGACCTGTTTTTTTCTCTCTAGAAACGTGTTGAATCTTTTCTTTTTCACCAGTGTTAATGAATTTCCCATTGATGCCTTTCATGATGTGTATTTGATTCACTGTTTTGGGCACTTTGTGACCCCTTTCAATCTGACAACTTTAGTTCTGGGAACTTTTCTTGAGTTGTTTTGTTGATGATTTCCTCTCTTGTTTTCTCTATTCATTCTTTCTGAATGTTGGGCCTCTTGAACTGGTTCTCTATCTTTTTTCTCATATTTTCCATGTTTTTCATTTTGTTCCACTTTCTGGGAGATTTCCTCATCTTTATTTTCCAACCCTCCTGTAGAGTTTTTCATTTCCCTTTTTTGTGTTTTTTTTGTAGCATTCTGTTGTTTCATGGATACAGTTATATCTCTGAGGATATTAATGACAAATTTTTGTCTATTTTTAGTTTTCTTCTCCCTGCACAGTCTCATTTCCTCCAAGTTGCTTCTCTCCCCTGCCCTATTTGTTTTGGCCTTATTTTCCACATTAGAAACTTTCCTTGAGTTCCTGGTAGACCTTGGTTATCTCCTGATGTTTAGAGTGGAGGGACTGAAAAGCTGACTGGTGGTTCTGAAGGTGAGGGTCAGGCCTGTAGGCATAGAGCTCCACTGAGGGTGACCCTGGTGGGCCATCTATTGGGAACCTCTGATTTCAGAAACTTTAGTTCTTTCCCTGTTTCCAGGGCTGGTCATTCTCCTCCAGGAAGTGTCTTCTAATCTGCCTAGAAGGTAACAGTCTGGTTGGCAGTGTTCCGAGAGCCAGGTAGGGGAAGAGGACGGAGGTGGCTCTCTGTCAAGCATTTATCCTGCTTTTAGGCACCACCCCTGCTCCATTTTGGTGTGGCAGCCCTGCTCACCTGTGCCTGCTGTCCTCCGTCCAGAGACCTTTTGTGTTGCCCTCAAAAGAGAGCACTCCCAGATGTGTGATGGGAGGTGAACGGGAGGACGGCTGTGCAGGAGCAGCGTGGGGGGGATCTAGCTGCTGCCTCCACAGCTTTCATTCCTTCTTCTTGACTTCCCCCCAGTTCTCGAGACTTCTGAGGGTTACGTGATGTAAGCTGGTGATTCCTCATTGCCCGCTTGGCGTTCTCGGGTCTGCTAAGCTTGTTACCATCCTGCATTCCTGATTCCAAGATTGTGTTGTTATAGTTTCTTGTGCTGTCCTCTCTGTCCTTGAGGATTTGTCTCCTTAAAAACTCCATTTAGTTTTATGGTGGTTTATGGTGCTGTCCTCTCTGTCCTTGAGGATTTGTCTCCTTAAAAACTCCATTTAGTTTTATGGTGGTTTTGGAGGGAGCGAAGTTAGACGAGTGTTGGATCAATTGTTCTACCTGGAAGGACATCAGCAACAGTAATAGCAAGTAGTGTTGCTTACTCGGTGTCAGTCACCATTCTAAGTGCTTCGAATAATTAATTCTTCTAAATTTGGAAGTCTGAAAAACATATTTTTTTGCCAACTCTCAGAAAAAAATCAGTTGGAAATCAAGACTGAATCACCTCTAATAAGTTCACTCAGAGGAAGAGAACAGCAGACCTGCAGAGGAGACATATGCTTCTCTCTCACTTTTCTTTCACTTCATTGCTTTTCCTCTTTTGATTGATATATATATATTTTTTTAATTATTTTTTTATTTTTTTCTCCCACAGAGGAGTGTGCTGCAGCTGCTGCACTCGAAGAGCGAGGTGGTACGGCAGTACATGGCCAGGCTCGTCAACGCTTTTGCATCCCTGGCAGAAGGTGAGACGGCAGCTCTCCTTGCCGACTGAGGGAAAAAAATGAAAAGCTGAGAATTATGTTTTATTTGGTGGACAAAACTGAAGACTTAAGCCCGGATGCAGCATCTTACATAGCTCAGAGGGACTGCTCCGAAGAGGCAAGGGGGGAGCCAGGGTATAAAAGAGTTTTTGCAGCAAAGATGAGGTAGACAGAGCATCAAAAGCTTACTGTTAAAGAAAACCAGACATCTCAAGTTAAGGAATTCAGCACTTTTCTGTGTACGGGAAGATGCAAGAGTCTGGGCTCACTGAAATCATTCCTTTGACAGGCACCTCAGCGATCTAGGGCCATAGCCTGTGCTTTCCCATCCTGAACCTCTTCAGGATGCACCGCTGGGGGTGGCTGCAGGGGCTGAGGGCTTGGCAGTGGGCAGCCTGTTGGTCTCCATCCTGAGTTCCCTCAGGGCTCACCGTCCAGAGTGGCTGCAAGTGGCTTGATGTCTGCAACATCCTTTGCTTACTGATACGGCAGGCAACATTTTTTTTTTTTCATTGATACCTTCAAAGAGAAGAGCTAGGTCTTGTGGTTGTGTCTTTCCCTGTGAAAACATATTCTTCCCCAAGTTTCTTAGCAATGGCATGTGATTCCTCAGTTTATTACTGTTTAATGCATCTAAGGTCTTTTGAAAAACTTAGTTGTTGTCATATTACTGTAACTTATGTCAGAGCAAATTTTGATGGTTTGGGAGTTTATTTTGTTAGCCTTTGGTTTTATTTTGTAAACTTTCTGGTATTGTAACGTAGTACTTTTTAGATTGCTCTCAAGATAGCAGGTAATGCATTTTTTATCATTTTCTACTTAAGACCAAATAAGGTTGGTGAAATAAAGTGATCCCAATAAGCACTATACCATGTCTTTCAAAACACTAATCCTTTTAAATCAGGAGGATTTGAAAATTCCCCAAATAACATGCCACCATAATTTAATTCAAAATGATTTTACAAAATGCCATTACCTCCCATAAATTCTAATTTGTTTGAGCTCTTTTTAACACGAATAATGGGAGTTTTAAATTGTGACTGTATGACACTCCAAAAGTTTTTTCATTCGTTTGTTTGTTGTTCCAGCCATTTAACAAACATTTTATGATAAGCCAGGGTATGTGCCAAGGACCATTCATATAATATGGTTGAACTTTATGTCTGAAATTAATGTCATCTGTATCAAGATACAAGTTCACAACAGGCTAGTGATAGGGTCCCAGGTATGATTCCTAACTTCTTCTCCAGGCCATGGGTGTGTCCAGAAAGCACAATGGGCTGCCTCTGTTGTTAAGACTAAGGGGTTCATAACACACAGATTCATCACCCCCTTTTCCTTGTGATATGACTTTTGGGTTCAAGATTTTGGGTAGGGACTTCCCTGGCGGTCCAGTGGTTGGAACTTTGCCTTCCAGTGCAGGGGGTGTGGGTTCAATCCCTGGTCGGGGAGCTAAGATCCCACATGCCTCACGACCAAAAAACTAAAACATAGAACAGAAGCAGTATAGTAACAAATTCAATAAAGACTTTAAAAACAAAAAATGGTCCACATCAAAAAAAATCTTAAAAAAAAAAAAAAAAAGATTTTGGGTAAATAAAAGACAGTGCTCCGCACAAGAACACAGTGATGAATCATGTTTAGATGACAGGAAAAGTGGTTTCCATTCATTAGATAGTTGATTGAGTAAAACCAACTTGCAGTTGAAATATGCTTTAATAAGTTTTCTAGAACATAAAATTACCCAAACTCTACGTGCGTTATATGCAAAGTTTTCACAGAAAGTGGTTTTGGAGCATGAACTTAACACAAGATAAATTCTCTCCCTTGTTCATCTCTGGTTATATTATTAGGTCGCCGCTACCTTGCCCAGAACACAAAGGTGCTGCGGATGCTGGAAGAAAGGCTGAAGGAGGAAGACAAGGACGTCATCACTCGGGAGAACGTTCTCGGGGCCTTGCAGAAGTTCAGCCTCAGGTGCTGACCGTGCAGTAGGTCATGGTGGCGCCTGTGAAATCAACTTGGGGGTTTCTTAGCCACTGTTTTGTGCTTATTTGGTCCCAGTGACAATCCAAGATGCAGGTGATATTTTTCAGTGAATGCTTAGAAGAGGTTGGGTGACTTTCTGAAGAAGAGCTGGAAAGCGTACCTCGGATCCCCTAAACCATCCTGCTCCTACACTTTAAAGCACTGGTCTGTTCTCCTAATGACCATTATCTCGTGCTGACCAGGTGCTAGATGCTAGATTGTGTCTCAGGCCACGTGCAAGGTTTGGAGATAAGCACATGAATGCACCCCGAGAGAGCCTCCACCTGCAAGAGCCCACAGTTCACTGTGGGGGAGGCACGTGTAGAGGCGCGGTCACAGTCGGGGGGGAAGGTCGCTCTGTGGAAGTCAGGGGTGGAGCCTCCCGGTTCCTGGTCACCCATCTCGGCCGCCTGCGCTGTCGTCTCAGCCTGGACCTGGTCGTGACTTGGGAGTGCTCCACATTCGAGATTTAAAACTCAGACACCTCTTCTTGAAGCAGATCTGACGTCCTCCCAGAGCCTTTTTTTTTTCTAAATTGGCAGCATTATTAAGGTGTATTTTACATACCACAAAATTTACCCGTTTTAAGTGTACAATTCAATGATTTTTGGTAAATTCACCAAAAGTTGTACAACCATCACCACAGTCTAATTTTAGAACACTTCCATCACCACAGAAAGAAACTTCATGCCTACCTGTAGCCACTTTTCATGCTTACCCCTTCGCCCCAGGTAACCACCACTCTGGTTTCTGTAGATTTACCTGTACTGGTGTGGTCTTTTGTGACTGGCTTCTTTCACTTGTTTTTGAGGTTCATACAAGTAGCAGGTACCAGTGCTTTGTTCCTTTGTGTTGCCGAATAACATTCCATTACGTGGACAGACCACATTTTGTGCATTCATTCATCAGTTGATGATATCTTGGTGGTTTCCACTTTTTGGCTATTACGCATAATGCTGCTATGAGTATCTGCATACACGTCTTTGTGTAGACCCATGTTTTCTTTTCTCCTGGGCAGGTATCTAGGAGTGGAATTGCTGGGTCATATGCTAATTCTTCCAGAATCCATATTCCCTGATGACCACCTGACTTTTTCGTTGACTACTAAGAATTTTAGTACCTTGAGTCCCTAACTTTTTCTTCCCACCAGATGTGGTTAACATCTGACTGACTCTCACTAATAAACTAAAACCTGAAAAGGGACATATTCTAAGTGTGTATATGTTTTGTGGGAGGAAAGCTGTAGGTATGTAGTTCCTACTATTTGCCATGTCCCTGCTGATGAAAATTGCTCGTTCTACCTATATGAATTGAAAGAACTATAAATGATCTCCAGAGTTATTACTTCCTCAGATCATAGGAACATGTTTCTGTTTGTTTATAAAGATGATTTAGCTTGATGTTGACTGTATTTGAAAAACTTTTAGAAATTTAATAACTTTAGTTATGATAGTGCTTAGTCCCGTCAATTCTTAAGGTTGACATGATAACATCCACTGTAACACATTATGATGGGGCATTGAATTTTGTAAGATTTTACACCTGGACCTTGGGTAGAAAATAATTCCATATAAATTGTATTACCCAGGTTACTAAACTAGCCTTACTCTATAGAGATCTGAATCAAAATGGTATTGAGCTGGTTTTATATGAGCTGGTCTTCTTTTTTGTGTTTCTTTACTTTTACATAGCTCAGAGTGCCTAAACTACATTATATAGACTAGACTTCAGGTAAAAATCTGTTTGTCAGTGAACCATTTCTATGACTCTGTTTCCTGGGTTAAGTAGACCAAAAGCTATCAATAAATATTTATTAAGTATCTGAAGTACTACGCTGCTAATTCTAAATATTGAAAAGGAAACTTTCAGAGTAGGAAGTCTCCTTACTGCCTTATTTTTCTTTAAACCTTTAATAACATCCCTGAAAGGTAAAGAATTTATTGTTGTAGTTTCCGTTGTACAGGTCTAACAGTAAGATATTCGCCAGGGTCCGTGACTTCCGTGAAGTTTCTTTTCTAATAGGCATTCACACTACTATGTACTGTCACATGAAAGGTTTCCTGCTGACTCCCTGCAGGCTGTTTCATCCTAGGCGCCCACTGCAGACAGCGATGATTCAAGATGGCCTCATCTTCTGGCTGATTGACGTCTTGGAGGAGCCTGACTGCCTGTCAGACTACACGCTCGAGTACTCGGTGGCCCTGCTCATGAACCTCTGCCTCCGGAGCACAGGTCTCACTGTTGCCGTCCCCCTGCCCCCAGGCTCTGGAGTACCCACGAGCCTGATGTGATCTGCCTTCCGTTTCCCTCCCAGAAAACTCAAAACAGAAAAAGAGTGTGAAGCATGTCCAGCTAGGTATAAAGCTATTGAATCCCTAAAGCCAAAATACCACTCTGGCCTTGGAAAGAATAATTTATACATATATGTATGTGTATGTATATATATACTGCATATATATGCAGTACCCACATCAAGAGGAGATTGAATTACATTATGTTTTTCTTCATTTTCATTGCATTATTCAAAGGTAGGAAGTGAAGAATTATGATCTGTTTTACCTGAAGACAGAGAAGTATGTTCCCAAGATTCCACAGGATTAAGTTGATGACAGAGCAGTGACATTAAACCAGGCTTCCTGCTCTTAATCACAGTCGCCTTCCCCACTCCACCTCGTACAGACAGCGATTCCCATGTGACATCTTAGGTCATTTATGTCTTGATCAACAAAGGGAGTGATTTTAGCTTTCCTGCAGGTTCCATCCCACTTAAATGATCTGTTCCCTGGGATGGAAGAAGCTTCCTTGGAGAGGTGCCATGTCCGGCCCACGGCTGACCTCTGTCTGAGAAGGTGTTGAGAAGGTGTTGGGAGGTTACCTGGATAAATAGCTCAGGGTATTTGTTAGAAGCTCCTTCACCCTCAGACGCCTTGGAATCTGAACCACCTAACTGTGTGTTGTTGACTGACTAAATGACTAATCTTCTCTTTTAAAAACATAGCGTATGCAAATTTCCTAGCTTCAAAACATTTATCAGATTATAATCGACTTTTCTTTATTATCATCAGTTCATTTGCAATGATTGTCATGATGATGTTTGGAATTCCTGAAATAGCTGGAGCATTTTTAAGTGATGGCCTGTGCACTTGGGAGGAGAGCATGGCCCTTTGACTCATCGTGCTTTCAGTGTAGTGAACAGCTCTGACCTCCTGAATAATAAGAACCGCCGCCACTTACTGAGCACTGGGAGTGTGCCGCCCTATACTGAGCTGCCGGGACTTCCCTGGCGGTCCAGTGTTTAAGACTCCGCGCTTCCAATGCAGGGGGCGCAGGTTTGATCCCTGGTCGGGGAACTAAGGTCCCACGTGCCGTGGCGCTTGGCCAAAAAAACACAAAAAACTGATGCTCTCTTTCTGTCTCATGGTCCTGTCTCCTTTTCTCATGTTGCTTTGGGAAACTTTAGTGCTCACATCCTGAGATATACTGAGCTACTTAATTCTACATTGCCCTTTGAGGTGGACATTATAATCCCCAAGGGACCCCAGAGGAAGAAATCGGGCCGCAAGTCGGTGAAGTGACTCACCCAAGGTCACACAGCTCACAGGCAGAGGAGCCAAGGTTCATATTCAAGTCTGCCTGACCTGAAACTGTGCCTCTGAGTTTAGACATGTCCTGTTTTGTTTCTCTCTTTTTCTCCTAAAGGGAAGAACATGTGTGCCAAGGTGGCGGGCCTCGTGCTGAAAGTTCTTTCGGATTTGCTCGGCCATGAAAACCGCGAGGTACCCAGTCAGCGCCGTAAACCCCGGGCTTGGGGGAGGGTGGCCGGGGGTACTTGCTGCACTTGCCCTCTTCCAAGTATTTGTATAAGCTACGTCAGAGCTTTCATCATTTTTAAATTCTGGAACCCAGAGCAGGAGGCTGTTCCCTGGCTTCCCGTTTGTGAGCACAACTGCCGTTCGCTGGCCTGTACTGCTCCCTCCCGGGGGTTATTTTTTCCTCCTGGTCATCTCCCCCTGCTTCACTCCTCCCCCCATGTTGACACTCCTCTGTTGGGTTTAATATATGTCCATGGACACGTATGTAACATGAAAATATATTTAATATTATGGGTGTGCTCAATTTGTATAAATAACATTGCCCTCTAGATCTCATCCTTTTCTTCCATTTTCACTGTGTCTTTAGGACCTTTCTCTGTTGCTTTCTGTACGCCTAGGTCCTTAATTCTCACTGCTGTACAGCAGCCCCTTGTTGGCAGCCCTGCCGTTTCACTTATCCAGTCCCCCAGGGGTGCCCTGTTTGCTTGCCTTCACCTCTCTGTGCCACAGCCATCCTCAGTGGACGTGGCTGCACTTCCCCCTCAAGGGCCCGAGCCGGAGCTTCCCTGGGGCATAGACACTCGTCACTGCTGGCCCCCCCCATATGTCAGTCTTGGGTCAGAGTCCTGCAGAACTGTCCGCAGGATGGCCGTCCTGGCTTCTGCTCTCATCCGTGTGGTGTTCTAGCCAATGGGAGGCAAGCCCTTTTTAAATAAAATAGAGGTCTGGATCAGCTAACACACGCTATGATTATTCTCTCCCCCGCTTTCTACAAATGCCTTTGTGGAAACCATGACATCACTTTGCACCTGAAGCCAAAACCTCCACAAAGATCTGCCCTCTTTAGCCGGCTCTTGATATACGTTAAGAGTCAAACAGAGAAAAAGCCAACAGGAGAAAAAGGACAAAGCGTATAAATGGACAGTTTACAGAACAGTAAATCTTGATGGTCTGTAAATATGAAAAGATCTTCAATTTTGCTAGTAGTCAGGGAAACGAAAATAAACACAACTATAGGATGTCTTCTCTTACCCATTAGATTAGCAGAAATGAAAAGTGGTAATAAATCCAGTTCTGGAAAAGGGTGGTGGGAAATGAGACCTCCCCCATTGCTGCGGAGAGTGTGTGTAGCATGCAGTCCACCCGAAAGGGAAAACCCGTTTATCAGGCGGCTGCCATGTACCATGTCCTGTCTGGCTTGATGTTAGGGTTACTTATGTGAGTAAAACATGGGTCCTGGCCCTGAAGAGCTCATGGAGAGACATAAGTATAAGTTTAAAAATATACCAAATCCTGGGAGTTAGCTGGTGGCCTAGGGGTTAGGATTCTGGGCTTTCACTGCCGTGGCCCAGGTTTAATCCCTGGTCAGGGAACTGAGATCCTGCAAGCCGCGCAGTGCAGCAGATAAATAAATAAATACTGAATCCAGCGCAGAAGCGGAGGGAGGTATGTACAGGGAGCAGAGCAGCCTGTCTGGGGGCTTAGGAAAGGCTTCCTCTGAGGCACGTCTGAGCTGAGTTTTATTTTTTTATTTTTTTATTTTTTTGCGGTACGCGGGCCTCTCACCACTGTGGCCTCTCCCATTGCGGAGCACAGGCTCCGGACGCGCAGGCTCAGCGGCCATGGCTCACGGGCCCAGCCGCTCCGCGGCATGTGGGATCTTCCCGGACCGGGGCATGAACCCGTGTCCCCTGCATCGGCAGGCGGACTCTCAACCACTGCGCCACCAGGGAAGCCCCTGAGTTTTATTTTTTAATTATTTATGTATTTATTTATTCTTGGCCACACTGTGCGGCCTGTGGGATCTTAGTTCCCTGACCAGGGATTGAACCCGCACCCCTTGCATTGGAAACATGGAGTCTTAACCGCTGGACTGCCAGGGAAGCCCCTGAGCTGAGTTTTAAAGGATGAACCATAGGTTTCCAGATAGACATATATGGGAAGAGCATTCCCAGCAAGATGAGCTGCTAGAACCAGGCCAGGGCATGTCACAGCGTGCCGTCGGGGGGGCAGGGGGCAGTCCCTTAAGTGGAATCTGTGTAGTGTGAATTTCAAGTGGCCGGAAGGAAGGAGCAGAGGAAGATGATATAGAGGCCAAACCTTGAAGGGCCCTGTGTCCTACAATAAGGAGTTAGGACTTTCCAGGTAGTTTCTACAGAAGGTTCCCGAGGTCGGGGGAGGGATGATTTGGCCCATGCTGTAGAATCTTGGCAATGATATGGGTTAAAGGGTGAACATAGAAGGCAGAGAGACCCTTTTGGAGGTCTCATGTAGCCTACGTCATGGCCGATGATGTCTGAACAAGGACTGTAGCGGCACCTATGGAAAAGATGGGTTCCCACTAAAGATGGCTTGGAGACCCAACATTGGAGGGTAAGAAGAGAGAGGAATCAGTGATGCCTCCAAAGGTTCTAGCCTGAGTCATCAGGATGACATTAATTTAGCAATGACATGTAACGGGAGTAAACTTTGGGAGAGAATGATGCCCTTGGTTTTGAACTCTTAGTTTTAGCTGTTGCCCTGGGCTGTGCCAGTGGAGATGTCTGTCATTTGGAGACCTGCATCCTGGAGCTCAGGGAGCTGTGAAGGTGGCAGTGCTCGCCAGCCAGGCTGTTCTCAAGGGTAGTGTGTGATGTCTGAGTTGTATGGTATTTGAGAACCTGAAAATGACTGTTTTTTCTCCCCTTAAAGATACAGCCATATGTGAATGGAGCTCTGTACAGCATCCTTTCTATTCCATCCATTCGTGAAGAAGCAAGAGCAATGGTAAGAAAACGTGCTGTGGATTGGTCAGCTTCTGTCAGGGCCACGTTCAGAGGCTATTAGAATAAGGGGTTCCTGATGGGGCCCCAGGGAAGGGCTTCAGATAGCTTCTGAACTCCCTGAAATTGTATCCCAAATACATATTTGCAGTTTTCTGGGGAGAGAGTTTGTGGTTTTTATCAGATTCTCAAGGGATCCCAGCCGACAGGATTAAGAACCACAGCGTCGGAAGTTCCTAGAAGGTTTATTTTTTGGAAAGTTGTAGACATTTTTAAAAATTTAAGTGACTCATTTTAACTGGGGGCTTTGGGAATGCTTGTGGATTTCATAGTAGGAGAAACTTAGCAAGAAAATGATGAAACGGAGAAAATCATCACCCAAATTCACCTCCAGGCTTCCTGGAGGAATTGTAGCCGTGAGACCTGGGGCAATCAAAGCACTCCTCTAATCTGCAGGCATTCTGATAGCAACCAGCTGGAACAGATAAAACTGATAAAACTGTCTGGTTGGAAAAGAGTTAACTGAATATTTAATGTGTTTACTTTAGTGTTTATATTGGAAGCATAAAACAAACCTCAGGTGATTAGCATCTTTTGAGATGACCAACGTTTCTAGATCTAATCAAAACTATTGGAGTTTTGTCCTTTTTCCTTACGACATGTGAAACCGTGTGTGCGTATTAAATGCTTAGAATGAAGGGATTAAATATATTTCCATCATCAAAACACAGGCTAAATTCAGTTTGAGACCAATGAAGCATGTTCTTCCACTTGGCTTTGCTTACTTAGAAGAATTACTAAATCTTCTAATGGGTCATCTACAGTTACATCAGCAGTTATGCCAGAGACAAAAACTTATTTAAGATCCATTCTGTGTGGTCACGGTAAACAATGAAACTTAATTGCCTACTGCTTTTTTTTTTTTTTTTTTTGCCGTACGCGGGCCTCTCACTGTTGTGGCCTCTCCCGTTGCGGAGCACAGGCTCCGGATGCGCAGGCTCAGCGGCCATGGCTCATGGGCCCAGCCGCTCCGCGGCGTGTGGGATGTGGGATCTTCCCGGACCAGGGCATGAACCCGTGTCCCCTGCATCGGCAGGCGGACTCTCAACCACTGCGCCACCAGGGAAGCCCTGCCTACTGCTTTTAAAGAGAAAAAGAAATCTGCTTTTTCAATACAGAATAGGGGAAGATAAACTTGATTAAATTCTGCATTATGGTCATTCAGGTCAAAGAGAGGAATTGTCAACCAAGGCAGAGAACAAGGCAGAAAACATGTAGGTTGAAGAAAAAGAAAGAACAGAGGTGATGTGGAGTCCAGAAGCAAGAATGGCAGACATCCAGGGCACAGGGGTGGAGAAGGCGGACTTAAGGGCAGGAAGGGGACAGGCACCAAGTGGCGAAAAGAGACTCACTGTTGTCGGACACGAGGGGGGCGGCCCTTAGAGATCATCCAGGCCAGAGCGAAAAGAGATGGAAGAATGGGACAGCCTCAGAGCCCTGTGCAGCAGTATCCTGAGGTCTCACACGCCTGTCATTGGAGCCCCAGAAGGAGAGGGGAGAGAGGGAATGGGCAGAAAAGGGTTGAATCAATAATGATGGAAAACATAAACATAATAATGAGGCATCTAGGAAATCCGCAAAGGTTTGGAAATTAAGCAGCACAGTTGAATTCGTTTTCTATTGCTGCATAAAAAATTACCCCAAAGTTTAATGGCTTATAAAAAAAAACTGCCTCAAAAAAAAAAAAATGACTGCCTCACAGTTTCTATAGGACAGATGTTGGGGAGCAGATTAGCTGCGTGGTGCTGGCCAAGAGTCTCTCCTGTGATTTTAGTGAAGACTTCAGCCGGGGAGCCGAGGGCACAAGGATCCGCTTCCAAGCTCGCTCTCGTGCTGGCTGTTGTCTGGGGACCTCGTTTCCTTGCCAGGGGACTGCTGCATAGGGCTTCTCTCCACATGGCAGCTGGCTTCTCCCTGAGGGATCCTAGAGAGTCAGAGAGTGAGCAAGACAGCAGCCACAGTCTCCTCTATGACCCAATCTGAGAAGTGGTCACGGGACCGGCTCGGGTGCGGTGTGGGAGGGACGGCCCGGGCGGGGGGTTCGTCCATGGAGCCTGGCTGCCACTCGCTTCTAAGTTGCCTCTGGATCAAAGAAGTCGCAAGGGAAATTAGGGCTATTAATCTTTTGACATATATCACAAATGTTTCCCCAATTTTTCATTGGTGTTTTACTTATGGGGCTTTGGTTATATGACAGCTTTAATTATAGTTAAATCCATTAATATCTTCCTTTATAGTTTCTGACATAAGTTTCTAGACAGCCTCTGAATTACCGACTTTGAAAAGAAAACGTAGACCACTTAGATAGAGGTGTAAGTGGCATACGCTTCCCTCTGGCATTTTAACAGGGATCAAAGTCGTAAGCAAATGGAGGAAGCTTCTGGACACTTCACCTAAGTAGTTACCTACTTATCTGTAAGAGACGCCTCTAAAGGAGGATATGGCTTCAACAGAGTCTTTCTAAAACCCTGAGATTTCCTCTCATTTCACTCTTATCCTTGAAGAGGTTTTTAGATTGATGGAGGGTATTACATCCTTTTCCTTCGTTATATAACAGTAATAAAGGAAACCAGACAGTGAGGAGAACATTATCCATAATCTCACCGCCCTAACATCTGCTCACACGCAAAGCCAGGGAGGAGGTGACGGAACTGACGTTGAGACCGTGCCGGGTGTGTGTCAGCACAGTCCTTTTGGAAGGAAGTTCAGCAGTGTATGTGATAAATTATGGAAACCTCCATATTTTGGATTCATTCATTTTCCTCTGGTCACTGATGCAGAGGAGAGCTCTGGGCATGACAGGGCTCAGTTCAATATCTTTATAATAGTGAAAAACCAGAACATAGATGTCTGGTAATAGAGGAATTGCTAATGAAATTGTGGTGCTTTTGCTCACAGTATTAGTAGCTATTGAGGATGATAATTAAGAAAAGCAGTATGAGACAGTATGGGAACTTCATTGTGTAATGAGGGATAAAAGCAGAATATGACATTATAATAACTCTGTTTGCAACTGTGTAAAAAACATTTGTGTGCTTGTGGAAAATGAGAGAGAATACATAAAAATTAGATTAGTACCAAATGCCACTATAGTGGTCTTAAAGTAATACCAACAATAAAAAAAAAAAAAAAAAGGAGAAAAAGATACATGCGTGCCCTGAGGCCCATTTGAACTTTAAGAGACCACCAAGGTCTGGGGCCGGAGAGCAGATGCGATCAAGAGGGCCACCCTACTGCTACCCCAAGGCCTCCTGCACCCAGGGCTGGAGTAATTGTCGGCCAGGAGCTCTTCCCTGGGATCGAAACCCCAGCCAAACATTGCGCCCTGGGCTGGAGCAGACCAGATGCTCTGTCAAGGCTCTCGGAGTCTCTGGGAGAACCAGGGAACCGGGCTCAGAAGCCACAGAGCCAGGAGAAATGCCCACACGCTCCACGGGGCTGCTCCAGTGATATCCCCACTGTGCCTTGCACCAATGCCCTGGGCCCAGGCTCACACCGCAATGCCAGAAACTCTGCTCTGCTGTCCCTGAAGGGCGGGATGCCGCCTGCCCAACCGTCACAAAGATGTGTGTTCCCCGTGTGCCTGATTCTTCACATTGCCCACTTCGGAATCAGTCTCACATGGGTGCATTTGATTGGCAGGACCTAGGTCATCTGCCTGCACCCTGGCTGAAGGGGGCCTGGGAATGCTAACATGCTGGCTGCGGCCTTGGGAAATGAACACGTTGTAGAGAAGCTCTTTTAAAAGTGTTCATCAGCTACAAGTGTAACGGTTGTCCATTACAGTTGGTAAGCCTGTCTGCTGTATTCCATGGCATCCCATCATGTGTGGGCCTTTCAAAATTAATGTGGAGGGCTTCCCTGGTGGCGCAGTGGTTAAGAATCCACCTGCCAATTCAGGGGGACATGGGTTCGAGCCCTGGTCCAGGAAGATCCCACGTGCCGCGGAGCACCTAGGGCCGTGTGCCACAACTACTGAGCCTGCGCTCTAGAGCCCGTGCTCTGTAACAAGAGAAGCCTCCACAGTGAGAAGCCCGTGCACCGCAACGAAGAGTAGCCCCCCGCTCAGCGCAACTAGAGAAAGACTGCACGCAGTAACAAAGACCCAACGCAGCCAGAAATAAATAAATAAATAAATTTATTGAAAAAAAAAATTAGTGTGGAAATCTTACTGAGAGGATAAATTGATACGGCATTTTTAGAAAGCAATTTGACAATATGTATAACAGTCCTCAAAAACATTAATATTCTTTGCCCAGTAATTCCACTTCTGAAGCTCCATACAAAAACGTGAACAAAGATTCATGTATGAAAATAGTCATCACAGCATTACTGATCATAGCGGAAAACAGGAGACACCTAAAGGTTCTCCAAGGTTCTGTCCTAACCCTCTTCTCTTCTCACTCTGGGGCCACCGGGAACCTTGTTTGCTCCCTTGCTTCAGCTACCAGCTCTCTCTTCTGAGCCAGAAACCCCTACCAGACACAGCAAGCACAGTCTCAGCCATTTATTAAGCATCTCCTGTGTGCCAGTCGTCAGACTAGATGCTTTTTCTTGCTTTTTTTTAGGTATAATTATGAACAGTGAAATGCACAAGCCTTACATATACAGTTCAACGCATTTTGACAAATATACATATTTACATAACCAACACCCAGTTATATCCTTTAAAGATCTCGTGTCCACTTGAGTTGCCATCCTTATTTTATAGTTGAGGAAAAAGGCTGGGAAGAGTTAAGTAATTTGACCAAGGTCACATAGCTAGTTTATGGGGAAACGAGAACTACAATCCAGATTTTACCTTTCTAGAAGGTAATGCTCTGCTTTAGGTGATGGGGACTCACCGTGTTCAAACGTGCACTGGGCGCTTCTGCTTTGATTCAGTTAGAGCTGTTGATTCCAAGCTGCCCTACCTAAACAGGAGCTCACTGGCTCCGGTAACTGAAAAGTCCAGGCAGAAGCTTCCGGCGCAAGCCTCAGGCACAGCTCGAGCAGGATTCGCGTGTCACTTGATCTGTTTCTCTACCAGCACCTCTGTACTCTGCTCCCTCTGCTTTGGGTTCAACATCAGATACACTTTCCCCTCGTGGGGGTAAGAAGGCCTCATCAGCTCCAACCATACATTCAAGTCCCACAGAAAAGAGGAAGGAGGAGAAACAGACATTTATGGTCAAGTCAGCATCTTACCTCTACATGTCCCTGGAATTCTGTTAGTCAGAACTGAAAATGCTGATGTCAGTGTTTTGTAGTAAATAATACACACTGTAATGACTTTATAATTATTTTGATAGAAAAAGAACGATGGCTGTTTAAAAAGAGGTTCTATTTGTTCTTTGACTTCTCTGAACATGTGGTTTTACTTTCCAAAGACCATTTTTGGCCCTAAAATCCAGTAGGCAGTGTATAACTACAGGGAAAACATGGGAGCGAAACCACCTCCCCAAACAACATACTGCCAAAGCTCAAAGGAGGACTTACACAGTAAAATTTTACGATAGCTTTTTTAAAAATAAATGTGTTATGATTAGGTCAGATAGTCAACCAAGAATAAAGTAATTTCCTTGTGAATTGTAAAAACAACAAAAAGAATGTTTAGAACTGAGCAGAGGATTTTTATTGTGCATACATCCCTTCCTCCTGAAAAACAAGTTTTTTGGTTTTTGGTTCTTTTTGTTTGTTTAAATTAATTAATTTATTTACTTTTGGCTGCATTGGGTCTTCGTTGGGTTGTGCGGGCTTCTCATTGCAGTGGCTTCTCTTGTTGTGGAGCACGGGCTCTAGGCTCGAGGGCTTTAGTAGTTGTGGCTCTCAGGCTCTAGAGCGCAGGCTCAGTGGTTGTAGCACACAGGCTTAGTTGCTCCCCGGCATGTAGGATCTTCCCGGACCAGGGCTCGAACCCGTGTCCCCTGCATTTGCAGGCGGATTCTTAACCACTGCGCCACCTGGGAAGCCCTGGTGTTTTTTTTTGATTAGGTGAAACTACTCCATTGAAAAGTAGTTTCCCCCCAAAACTGAAATGTTAACTCTTACTCTCTCCAATGCTTCTAGGGAATGGAAGACATCCTTTGCTGCTTCATCAAAGAAGGCAATGCTGAAATGATCCGCCAGATTGAATTTATCATCAAGCAGCTTCATTCAGGTCTGTTTAAGGCAAGAATCTATTATGTATCCTTTGAATCTTTCACATATGCTAGAAGGACATGTGGGCTTTCTTAGAGGGGCTTGTCATGTCTTAGAATTCATTCAAGAGGCCTTAAGGGAGGTGGGGAGACCCAAGTGAACCCACAAATGGAAGTTCAGCCAGGTAGCCAAGGCCACTTTGTCCCATGATCGATAGTCTCTCATCACACTTTTGGCTTATAGTCAACAAGAAGAGCTCAAAAGCTGTTGCAGAAACCCTTCCTTAACTGGAAGTTCTCTTTATGTGGGCCTCCCCCTCCTAATTATTTCCCCCAGACCACTAGGGCGGCCGTCCCAGGGTCCGAGGGTCAGATAATGAAAACAGATGCCAATCTTTACGGCACCACCGTGGAAAAGGCCCTCGTCCTCCCACGTTCATTCGCTCCAGAAGAATTCATGTTGCCAACCAGCAACGTGGGAGGATGTGATCCCCTTCCTTCCATTACTGTGACCACCCACATCCCATAATAAGCAGGAAAGGAAGGTAAAGGAAGCCTCGGATGGGACCGGGTGGTGGGGACGCCCTTAGCTCTTTCTGTGGCCCCCTGATGCCTTGATCCTGACTTGTGCACAAGCCAGAGGCGCCTGGCACTGCCAGCATCCAGGGTCAAGCTCGTCACTTACGTCTTTCTGCACGCCCTTGTCCACATCACTGAAAGTCCAAGTGCACAGATTTTGTTCCTCACACGAACGCAGGTAAAAAATGAATCTCCTGATCTCTGATCCCAAGGCAGCAGCTTGACCAAGGCCGAGCAAAAGGGAAATGCCTGAAGCCCTTCACTGGAGGAAGCCCACAGGTGGCTCTCCCAGCTCCTGGCTCACAGCTAGGGCTGCACAGGGCAGTCACCTGGGGAGATTAGAAAACCCCCAAGGTAGCACCCCATGCCAATTAGATCAGAATCTCTGGAGGAGCCCCAGGTACGAATAGTGTTTAAAACTCCCAGGTGATTCCAGTGTGCAGCCCTGCCTCGGAGGGACACAGAAATGGAGAGGCAGAAGGAGGGGGTTAGAGGGCTCCCCATCAACAGGAGGCGGCCAGGAGAGCAGCCGGTGAGGTTAAACCTTGGCTGCCTTCAGGCTGGGGGCCCATTTCCACTTGAATGTCCTCCCCTTTGGTTTTTATGGAGCAAGTATAATTCATCCCGGATTCAGGTGGGGAAGGAACAGATGTGTATTTTCTGCAGCTACTGCATTTCTGACTTTGCACTTCCATTCTGCTAGGCGGGCATATTGAAAAAAATAACAAAAGGAAATAAAACCTAACCTTAGTCCTGACCAAGGTTACTCCCTAACCTTCTCTATGTAGGCCACAGTTTGGGAAGGCAGGGGAATGCTGGGAAAAGTTGTTGCCTATCTGCTCTGAGGTCACTAGCTATGCCGAGACCTCCCTCCCAGGCCAGGAGTCCTCCGCAGCGTCAGGGTCAGGTTTGGGTTGGGAACCTTCAAGGCTGACTCTGTTTCAGTCGGTCTATCAAGACACACTCACCTCTATTTCCTTGTCAGTCTTCCCTCCTCCCAGGCAGCCAGAAAGCAGTGTGTCTTGTCTCTCTGGCCAAGAAAACATCTCTTCCTCTTACATAAAGCTGGCCCTTGGACCGGCACGCTAACGAATGTGAGGACGAGGGGTCAGTCTACGTTTCTGTAAGGGATGTGCTTTAGCAAGAAGTTGTCCTGCGCGGAGCCAAGGCCTTACAACCTTGTGTGTTCAGGACAGACGTGGGGTCTACCTGCTCAGCTCCGGAAGGTCCAGTTTCAATGGAGTGCCTACAGTGGTTCTTCTTCATTTCAAGCACAGAAGCTGTTCTGTATTCATAGGACAGTGGCAGGACTCCAGAGACGATTACCCAGGAGTCTGCTACTTTGAAGCAAAATTAGAAAGTCATTGAATATTTGGGTGGAGGACCAGATACATACACATAAATACCTTAGGACACCTGTCAACAGCTATCAAGGCAAAATGAATCTACAAGCATCATGCTTAAACCTAGAGGAGGGAGAGCTGGAGAGTTTCCATCCAGTCCAGTCTTCCTCCTCAAGGGGGAGTTGATAGCCGAGTGGGAGTTGTGAGACATTTACTGGTTTAAGATAGGTGAATCTTAAACTAGTAAATCTAGTTCTAGATTTAACAATCTTTTTTTTAAAGTATCGACTTTCTTGTTTTATTTTAGTGAACATGAAAACATGTACATGGGTTATCTTAATTCAAGTCCATCTCAATCCTCTAGCACTCGTTTTCTAGTGGAGTTTAAGGTCCTCAAGGACAAAAATTCCCATGTATTTTAGAACTTTAACCCCACAGGAGGGGAAGGACTGCTCTGGAGAAGCCTAAGGGGAACTCCCGGCCTGGTGACGTGACAAGTGGAAGTGAATGGCCAGCAGCAGCAGGGAGTTTTGTCCGTGACTCCAGCGCTCAGCAAGGGGGACCGGCAGATACCAGCTGGTCGCCAAAGAGAGGGCAGGGCGACCTGACTGGTCACTGGGCAGAGCAAGGCGGAGCTGGCTTTCCCGGAGGGCCCTCAGGAAAGAAGGGATGCTGGTAACTCAAGTGCCCTGTTGTTGGGCCCACAGCCCAGGGAGCAGTGTGGGAAGCAGGGCTCGTGTCCCCGTCCTCCCGGAGAGGAGGAGCTGAGGCTCGTAAGGGACTTGAGTTCACAGGACTGCACATTGTTCCGAAAGTAGGTTGAGTCTGAGCCCACAGGCTCAGGGGAGGGGGCAGTGTGGCTGGACTAGCCTGTGGCCTCATGAAATAGCTGAGATTCAAAAAAAAAAAAAAAGGCCTTTCCATATTTGAAGAAGAAAGGTTTAATTTACAATTGGTAAATATAGCAACCTCCTCACTGTGAAAGCCACTTACCAAAGGTGGGAAGGAGCAGTGCTGTTCAGGGGCTGGGAGGGCATAGAAGTTGGGTAATTAAGCTTCAGCCCAGATGCAGGTGACACAACATCCTCCAGTATGCAAAGTAGCTTCCACGACAACGGCACAGCCCACGGTAGGCCCGCGAGCCCTGTGAGTGACCTGCTGGCTTCGGTCCAGCCGGGTCAGTGGAGTCCTTCCCTTCAGAATGAGGGCTGCGTCGAGGACAACGGGAGTCCTGGCGTTTCTACAGATTCCCTTCTAGGAAATGGTTTTGGGGTTTGGTTAAGTCTAGGTGCATCTGCCGCCTTCCTAAGTGTGCTGGACAGTGTCTTCAGCGCCTTTGTTTCCTTCTGTCCTCCTATTTCCTGTTTGATCTCCTTTCCTCTTCTCTCCGGCTTTCTTTACTTTCATGTCGTCTGTTCAAGCAATGAGTGATAATAAGGAAGGTGCTGAGCAGGTCAGGTGCTCTGGCCCCGGGGGCTCACAGGCTGCGTTTACCTGTCTCTGCAGCAGCTGAAGGAGTTTGTTGACCAAGGCTCCCAACTGTGGTTGCAGTTATTCATTGATTTTTTTCTTTGTAGAAGAGCTACTGGACGGTGTTCTTGAATCTGATGATGACGAAGACGAAGATGATGAAGTAAGTTAGAGGCTCTTGACACCACATAGAAAACTCCGGCCAACTATTCTGAGTCTCTTCCTCGCCTTGGAAAGTTAGTCCAGAAACGGAGCTTTCAGTCCCTGCTACGTTACTTCTCACAATTGTGTGGGTCAGCTAGAGCTCAGCTGGGTGGTTTTCTGCTGGTCTCTCTTGGGGTGTCAGTGGCTCTTCTCCACGTCTGAGCTGGCATCGCGGCTGCCACAGCCCCTCTCCACGTGGCCTGTAATCACTTAGTGGTCCATCCCGGGACTGCCTTATTGGTTGGGGGCCGGTCTCCAAGGGGAAAGAAGGGAAAGCTTCCAGTCCTTGTGTGGGCTCAGCAGCCTCAGAACATCACTTACGCTGCGTTCTGCTCGGGGCATGTGCCAAGACCAGACCAGTCGGGGGTGGGGGTGGGGGTGGCAGTTAGACTCCACCCACACGCGGCTGCAGGGTGGGAGGACTTGCGGGTGGCGTGTCTGGAGACTGTGGCCGCACCTTGGTGGGCTCGTTGCAGCCAGCATGGAGAGGCCACACTCTGTGGCACTTGGGTTGATGGGAGGCTGAAAGATGACCGGTCTTGCGCTGAGTCTTTTGCCCTGAAGGGGGCGTGAACCTCCCCTGTCTTCCTCGTGGGTGTGAGCGTTGGGCCTGGAAGCTCCCCGGGAGAATCTCCAGGGTGGGAGTCCGGGGCTTGGTTCAGAGCTGGCAGAACCTACCACTTTACCCTGTCATTTGCATTCCTGTGGTGTGGGTTACCTCAGCTGTGAAAAAAATCGGCTTACCTGGTTTTTTAGAGCGTGAAGGTTCAGAACAAGGGCGTCTGAGTGAGTCCTGTGAGGTGGTGTAGAGAATGGTGACTCATGGGCTGTAGGTGGATTTTCACATGACAAGCTATTTCATTATTTTTCCTTCAGACCTAAAAAACCCATACATGGCTGTCCTCTCTTGTTCTCTGTGGTAATAAGTGATTTGCATTCCCTCTATGTTGTGGGGAGCATTTATTCCCGAAGTGAACGCTGGAAGATGAGTTGTTCTTTGGAGTTGTGGTCTGTCCATGTAAAAGGTGTGTAGAAGCCAGGTTTTTGTTCATTGATGGCATCAGTTAGGGGAGACAGTTCATTTAAGAGCCCTCCACCAACAAGGACGGCTCCACCAATGAGGACAGATCTGTGAGCTATGGTCCCTCTGCAGCCAGCCTCCTGCCTGCCATTTTCCTAATGGGCTGTAGGCGGCAGCAGCGGGCACCCCTGCTCCCTGCAGTTCTGGACTTCCAGAACTAGCCAGCACCTTGTCCAGGCCCCTTCCTTTACAAAGGTGGATCCAGAGAAGGGAGGAGGCCAGCCTAAGGTCACACACAGCTGACGGCAGTAAAATCTGGTTTACAACAGGGGTCAGCAGACTTCTTCTCTAAAGAGGAAGCTAGTAAATATTTTAGGCTTTGCAGGCCGCACTGTCAGTTTCATCCACCCAGATCCACCCATTGTAACACAAGGTAGCCGTGGACAATACATGAATGGTTGAACGTGGCTGTGTTCCCATAAACCTTTTTTTTTTAATGTGTCCTGAAGTTTGAATTTCATATGATTTTTATGTGTCATTAAAAATTTTTTTCAAACATTTAAAAATGTGAAAATCCTTCTTAGTTTACTGGCCTAACGACCACAGGCCATTGTTTGCCGACCCTGGAGAGAACCCAGCTCCCTGACTCACTGGCCTTCTCAGGACCGTGAAGAGACACCACCTGTGTGTCTCGCCCTTCAGCACTCTTTTATATTATACTTTGAGTTAATATCTTTTTTTTTTTTTTTTTTTTTTTGCTGTACGCGGACCTCTCGCTGCTGTGGATTCTCCCGCCGCGGAGCACAGGCTCCGGATGCACAGGCCCAGTGGCCATGGCCCACAGGCCCAGCCGCTCCGCGGCATGCGGGATCCCCCCCGAACTGGGGCACAAACCCGTGTCCCCTGCACCGACAGGCAGACTCCTAACCACTGTGCCACCAGGGAAGCCCCGAGTTAATATCTTAATTATTTAATTCCAATAACTTTTTGTCCAAAAAAAGCTCCCCTCAAGATCTGTTTTTCCCCTCTATCTGTTATCACTGTGGGGTGGTTTTATTTTATTGCTATTAACCCCTTTGTTTTTGTACTGCAAGGGAAAATTCATTTGGTTCAGCTGTTAATGATGGGAATTCAACTTTTGGAAATTTCCCTGTGGAAGTTATAGTCGACTGTAACTACAGTTATATAGTCTATGGTAAAGAAGGAATATAGACATCTTTTAATTTTCTGGACTTTTTGCTACTCTATGCATATTTTTATTTTAAGAAGCCAGTGTTTGAAAATATTTGTTGTGATAACTAGAATTTTCAGAAGATTCTTGAAAGGGTTTAGCTGGAAAATTATAAGGAAAGGACCTGTCATTTGGGGCCAAAACTTGACTCTCTGTGATGAGCTCAGGTCGGCAGGTTCTGGGCTCTCCCTCTGTCATGGTCCCGACGCGTACTGTGGAGGACTAGCCAGGACGACCTGGGAAGGAGCCAGCAGGTCTCTGCTTTACTCAGCTTTCCCCAAGGCCAGGTGTTACTTTTTAAACTGGGGGCAGGGGTGGGGGAGGTATGGGTGTGGGGAGAAAGTGAAAGATGCTTAAACTACAGGAAACTCTCCAAAAATCAGTCGTGCAAGTCACACTGTTGTTGGAATGTGGCTGTCACATCCCGAGGTGACAACTTTGAAGGAGACAGCAAAATTATTTAAACCCAAAACGCAGATAACGAAGCCACTGTTTGCAGTTAGCTGCTTAGTGCCTCTAAAGGTAAAATGGCTCTAGGAGGGGCCGGAGGCCGGGGTAAATTATGGCTGCCTTGCCTGACACTGAGCTGAAAGCTGTGCCCTTGCAACTTCGGCCACTGGTCCTGCTCCGCTGGAGACTCTCAAGGATCCCCAGATGCAAAATCTGATTTTTCCCTCTAATTTCTAAAAATGTAACGACTTGTCCTAATGTATTAACACTTACTTAGTTATGCCTGAATATATATACATACACATACCAACATAAAAAGTTAACTAGAGTTAGTTTTTTTCTGACTTGTAGACTGTCTAGGATATAACGTCAAATGGAAAAAGGAAATTGCAAAGTAACATGAGCAGTATGAGTCAATTTCAAAAAACAAACTTATAAACACACATCCTGATGAATTATATACCTGCTTATATATACATAGCGGAAAGGTGTGGAAAGTTACACCCTCTTAGTTGACACGGGAAATTCCCTGAGTGAGGTCTGGGGGATAAGGAAGTGTGGCTGAGAGGTGAAGAAAGGCCCGGATCAGCAGGGCCCAGGGCTACAGACTCACCACGTGAGGCGAGAAGTAGGAAGGGCACGCTGGATTTAGTGGACGGAGGTTGGCTGCTGAGCATTTTTGAAGACTAATGAGGCAAAAGCCAAACTGAGCAGTTGAGGAGCAGGTGGGAAGTAAGAGAATGGAGCTAATAAGTACATACAGCTCTTCCCACAGATTTGGCTATGAGCAGGGGAAGAGAGTTGGATGGTGGCTAAACGGGGCATTTTTGTTTTGTTTTCATTTGGGAGATACCTAAGCATGTTAAAATGCTGTTTGGGAAGGATCCAGTTGAGAGGGAAAGGTTGAACATTCAAAGCAGGAGGAGAGAGAGAGGATGGCATCAGAAGGACAGGTGTTTTCATTATTTTCTAAATTGCTTCTTATACTCTTCTTGGACCATTTAAAGCTCCAGAGGAAAAAAAACTATCACTAGATAAGCTTGGACAGTACCTAGGAGAGAATGGACAAATGACAACAACAATTTAAGGGTTCCAACGCATCTCACCTAGTGCTTTGAAGAAATGTGTTATTATCTAATACAGTTTATTTTTATATTAAACGTAGATAATATGTTCCCAAAGGGTCGATGGTGAATCACAAGGAGTCCTGATTCCAGTATTCTCACCACAAACGGCTCACATTTTCTTACAGTTTGAGGCGAGTTCCTTGTGTCTAGCTCATAAGTGGCTTTGTAAGTGGAGATGAAAGGCCTTTCTGTGCTATTCCAGAAGATTGATTTTAAGACAAATATTCTCCCCTCTTAAGAAAATAGGTTTAAAGGCTGGGTTAGATCAGCCATGGACATTTACTTACTGGTTGCCATGAAAGTGACAGTCATGTGCTCAGCAGTTCCTTTCTCTATAGACTTCTGAAATCTAAGAGCCATTCACTTGCTTATTCAACAAATATTTGAGGACCTTAAAATAACATTATTCTAGGAAGTAATGGGGAAGGGATCCAAAAGAAATTTAAGAGTATCTATGGTTTAATATGACTCTAAGAGTTTAAAATCTAGATAGGTGAGGTAATAAAGACCCTGATAATAGCTTGTGTAGCATCACCAAGTGCCAGGCACTGTTCTAGGCACCTTACACTTACTATTTACCCATTTATTCCTCACAAGAACCTGGTGATAGGTGCCGTTATTGTTCCATTTCACAGACAGGGAAACAGAGAAAATATGTCACTTGCCAAGTTCACACAGCTGATAATTAAGTGACGCAGCCAGGAATCAAACCCAGGTGGTCTGACTTGTCCACACTGTTAACCACTACATGATTTTGTCTCTTGCGAGACACATATAAAGTTAGCAAATAATAGAAAATAAATACGCGCTCAGAGGTCCGTGAATGTGATAGAAACAAGAAGTGCTGCAGAAATTCCGAGTCCTCAGAGAAGACTGGAAAGTGGCTGTTTTGACAGCACTTCGCCTCACCGAGGGTGAAAGGTGAGCGGAATGGATTGCTGAAGAGAAGGATGTGGTCAGGAAGGCAGGAAAGGCATCTTCTAGAGGAGGCAGCATGAGCTTTGTCCTTTGCTTCTCCCCGACCCACAGTGATGCCCCCACAAAACCCGTATTAACAACCTAGTATGTGTATGTGCTTTCATACTTTTCTTACAAGGTACACAAAGAAAGTACACAAACGTATGTACCAT